CGTGGACTACAGCCAGTCCACGAAAGCTTATGCTCTAATAAATTTGTTAGTCTCTAAGGTGCCACAAGTACTCCTGTTCTAGAAGCATAGCAGAAGTTTGCCATACAGACAGTATAGAGCCAATATTCATAACTTCAACTACAAAACTGATACACACATATAGACAGCATAAGCATAACCAGTAAACCATAACCTTGTCCTAGACACCCCATTTGACCCCCTTTATACAAGATTTGGGTGCCACTACAGGACCTTGGTTGCAACAGTGATCTATACGGTCCCAGTTTATGTCAATAACGTCACAAGGGGTCCCTGAAGAGGGATGGGGATGGTGGGTGAGAGGGAGGGGGCAAGGAGAACTGAAGGGTGTAGTCAACCGTGCGCAGGACCCAGCGGTCCGATGTTATATGTGACCAAGCACGGTAAAAACGGGACAGGCGGTCCCTGAAACATAGAGGGGGATCCGGAATAGAGTTTGGTACGCTGTCCTCGATCGCAGCTTCAAAACCCTGGCTTATTTCCCGGCCGTGGCTTGCCCTGGCCATGATTTTGGTCCTGGTTAGGCATGTTGTTACGTCTACGCCTGTTATCCCTGCCCCTTCTGCGGAACGGTTCCTGTCGAGGATGAGGGTGGTACTGCCTCTGTGGTGGTTGGGGCTTAAAGGGTTTCCTTTGTGTCACTGGGGTATGCATTCCCAATGACTTGAGGGTTGCTCGAGAGTCTTTGAGGCTATGTAGTCTGGCATCCGTCTGGTCCGAAAACAAGCCTGACCCCTCGAACGGAATGTCTTGGAGGGTGTTTTGCACCTCTGGGGGAAGGCCGGAAGCCTGTAGCCATGCCGAGCGTCTCAATACTACTCCTGACGCGACTGTCCTAGCAGCTGCGTCCGCGGAGTCAAGGGAGGCCTGTAGGGAGGTTTTGGCTACTGCCTTCCCTTCGTCCACTATAGCCGTAAACTCGGGTTGTGAGCCCTGAGGCAGGGATTCCTTAAACTTGGAGACTGATGCCCAAGAATTGAAGTTGTGTCTGTTTAGAATCGCTTGTTGGTTAGCGATCCTCAACTGGAGGCCCCCGGATGAGTAGACCTTTCTCTCAAATACGTCCAAGCGTTTTGCCTCCTTGGCTTTGGGGGCCGGGGCTTGCTGGCCACGTCGCTCTCCTTCGTTGACCGCAGAGCCGACCAGCGAACAGGGTGTTGGGTGAGAGAAGAGGAAGTCAAACCCTTTAGATCGGGCGAAGTATTTCTCCTCCGTCTGCAACCCCAGATTGAGGGCTACTCAGCGGAGCAGTTCCTGATGTGCCCGATGGTCAATCGGGGGAGGGCCGGACGCTGTTGTGCCCGCCACGGTTTCGTGTGGTGAGGAGGAAGAGGTCAGGGCCTTTTGCGCGTCTTCCTCTTCTTGCAACTCCTCACCGACTGGGCGCTCCTCTGGGCCCCGTTCTATGACGTGACCAGGACCGGGAGTAGTGTCTTACCGACCTGGACCTGGATCGGTACCGGTGACCACGGGACCCGGGAACGACTACGGGTGGTCGGTCTCGGGGATCACGTAACTGACACATCCCGGTGCCTACTCGAGTAGGGCTGCTGGGTCGGTGCCGGGCGCTTATTGGGGCCTGACGGCTGTGCGGCTCTCTGCGCGGAGGGAAGCCGGGAGTCCACCGAGGCGGAGCTCGACCAGGACCGGCGCCGTGAACAGTGCCGAGATGGTGACCGTGATGGACCCACCATTGCCGGCTTGCCTCTGGATGGCAGTCTCGGCAGATTGTCTTTAGTTTGGAGGGGGCCCTCAGCGAACAATTCAATGAGGTCCTTTGCTGCCTCAACTGTGTCCAGGGTGGAGGGCTGTTCCAAAAGCTCCTCCAGCCCTTCCTCCTCACTCGACGCGCCTATCCCGGGGCTCAACGGGCCTTTCGGTGCCAGAGCCACTGTCACTGGGATCTGTGCCGGGGCCACAACGGCCTTAGGCACACTCGAGGTCTTCGCGGGCGCTACCCTCTTATGCGGGGAGCGTCCTCGGGCCTTGGGTTGGCCCTTCGATTTTGCCGGCAAAGACGACCGATGCCGGAGGTGTTCCCGCTGATTCGGTGCCGTGGGCTTAAGGTGCCCGGCCGGCGCCGGATCACGGACCGATGCCGGGGCACTCCGCACCAAGGTTGACGGTGCCGTCGAAGTAGAGGGCTGTAACGCCGTCTCCATGAGCAGCTGCTTAAGGCGAAAGTCTCTCTCTTTCTTAGTCCTGGGCTTGAAAGCTTTACAGATCTTGCAGCGCTCTTTTTGGTGTGCTTCCCCCAGGCAACGGAGACATGAGTCGTGTGGATCGCTTAATGGCATAGGCTTGCGGCATGTGGCACAAGCCTTGAAGCCTTGGGCGTGCGGCATGCCCCGCCGCCCAGGGCCAGTGCCGGGGTTGACCAAACACCTAACACAAAGAAGTTTGAGTATTTCTAAAGAACTGATGACTGCTAAGCTTAACACTAGCTACTAAAGAACTGATAACTGTAAAGATAACACTAACTACTATGCTAAGGGACACTCTCAGGCGAGAGACAGAGTTGTTCCAACGCCGCCACGGACAGTAAGAAGGAACTGAGGGAGGGTCGGGCCCGCAGGGATATATATACTCTAGAGCGGGCCGCCGCTCTGGCGGGAGGGGGGACCCTGCCGGCTCAATGGGAGCCGCTGAGGGGAAAAGTTTCCGACGTCCGTGCACGCGGCGCGCACGCACCTAATGTGTAATGGACGTGAACAATCACTCGAAGAAGTAAATAGTATAACACTGGTCATTTCAACAGCTGTTATTAAAAATGAGCACCAAACTATGGATGGGACGGGGCACAATATGCAGGTACTGGGTTACGGGCAGACCAGTACAGACACACTTACTGGAGCAGTAGCCAGGAACTTGGGTGAAGGATAAGAATAGTAGAGCCACCCTCAACCCAACAGTCAAGAATGGAAGGGGCAGAGAGAAAGTTTCTTCTTTCCTTCATAACCAAGGTGGGACAGGATGGGTTTAACCATATGAGACTCACTAGCCAAAGGCCATATGAAAGATGAGTCCTCCAACAAGATCCAGGCCAGCATATTAACAGGAAGTCCAGCAGTTGGGGGCTACTGTAGTCCTGAGTTCTCGTCCACCTGCCCACCCCTTTCAATATTTCATATCACCTGACTAGTACGTGTCTGATAGCTATTTAAAGCTTTGCTTTAAATTATACATAATTATATTATAGCAGAGGTGGATTAAGATTTATTGGGGGCCTGGGCACAAAGAACATTTGGACCCCCCACATGCCCCTCACCATGGGGCCCCACCCCCGGCTCCTCCTCTTCCCCTCTAGGCCCCTGCCCAGGCCGGAAACTGTAGCCGGGCCATGGAAAGAGCTGTCCAGGGAACCTTGGCCACCATGTGGAGCCCCAGACTCTCCGCCTACCAGGGACGGCGCACCCCAGGAGGCAGGGACACAGACTGAAGGCTGCTCTCTGGTCACCCGGCCAACTGCCCAGGACAGGTGGAGGGTCCAGGGCTCCCCACAGCAGCTCTTACCGTGGCTCACCTCTGGCTTCCAGCCTGGCTGAAAGCGGAGCCTCAGGGAAAGAGGAGGAGCAGAGGGTGAGGCCACAGTTCTGGTGCTGGTGGCCCCCCCACTTCTACAGAGGTTCTCGCACACCTGCGGCGGCCCCCAAATTGGCCAGGGCCCCTGGGCACAGGGCCCATCTATTAATCCACCATTGATTATAAGAGAAAAGAAACAGGTAAAAAAATCTTACAACTGTTAGCTTAATCCTTACACTGCTATTTCTAGTCTCCTTCCTTCCTGTTCATTCAAAGAGTAGTTCCAGTCCCAAATTCTTCTCCCACCACAACTTGTGCTCTTTTGTACCCAGTGCGATCTCTTTCCAATGATACTGTAGTGACTGGGAAAGAGGGAGCTCTGTTTTGTGAGTAGACAAATCCCTGCTTATTCTTTCCCACTAGTCTCTTTTCTGTGGGAATTAGTCCAGATGGTTTACTTCCCAGGACAATACCCTTTAGATGTCTGGCAAATATACACAAGCTTCTGTTGCCAATAATTACTAAATCATAACAATTCATATGGTAATGTGCCCTGAATGTTATTCGGGGTTCAAGCTGTAAAAGACTATGGGCCCATCAGGGACTGCAGATCAACAATTCTATCTTGACAACTAATTTTACAAATTTTACCTTGCGCTCTCCAACAGTGATGCATGTCCAATCTGGGCTGTTGCCAGTAAAGAGAGCCTTGTCTTGCTGTTATTACCACTCAAATTACCAGATATCCTCCTGGCTTGTCAAGTACATTTGTTTCCATGTGGTTATGCTTTGACTGCTGAAACTGTGATTTGAATAAAGCTTGCATGGCATATGTTTGGGCATTTAATGTGTGTAATCTTTCTTCCCTAGGAATAAGTAATTCCCAACACAGAGCCTTGCCTTAAGGCTCTATTACATCATATACTTTAGTACACCAAGTTATAGCTATAGTAAAAGATAGCTGCCATGGGACTATACCTCTTTCCAGCTCTTCAGTCTGTGGCTGTATTATTGAAATGAATGGGACAACTCACCTGAGCAAAGTTAAGCGCATCCATAAGTATACCCAGGATTGGGACCTAAAAGCTACAGGGCAACCAAAGAAGTGTGGGAGCATATTATATGCAGCTTACGTTGTGTTACTTTGGTAATATCTTAGACTAAAATGAAGGCTGGAGGAGGTAAGAAAGGCAACTGGACGAAGAGGGTTAGAAAAATGACAGCAAGCCGGGGCCAATCTTTTTAAGATTTTGGAGGGAGAAAACAAAAAACTCAACATCTCACATGTGGAACAGCTCTTATTTAAAGCCAATATTTTTGTATTCTTTAACAAATTAGCCAGATGTTACTAAACTGGGCAAGTTAAGTTCCAGATTCTGGAAACACCATAAGTGCTTGAATAAGTCAGAGTATAAATATAAAAACCCAGCATACTGTACCTCGAGGCTGGAGTTGCTGTCCTCATCACCCATGTCTTTTGGGGGGGGGGGGAATAAATGAGAGAAGAAAACCTTGTTAATAAGTGACATTCATCATTCCCATAGTTAGCGTTAACAACCATAATGCAAAGTGGTTGAGAACTAATCCTCCAAGCTTCTTTATTTATCATTAGAAGGCAAGTTAATAGAAATATTGCATTTTTTTTTCCATCTTCCTTTTTCTTCCTGAGAGAAAATACAGGAAGAAATAAAGCACACAGGGTGATGATTTGCTGTTCTGATATTCTAGTACAACAATGATAATTAATGAAGCTCTCTACATGGTAACCAAGCTGTGTTTATGGGTTTCAATCAAGGGTCTCATATACAGCACAAACAGAAAACAAGCCAGCACCCCCATCCCACCAAATTAATTAAACCTGCTCAAAGAAAGTCTCAAACATAATATTGAAAATGTCTGCTGGAGCCAGAGAGCCTTCCATGTTTGGGCTCCCACTGTTTCTAATACCAGCGCAACTGAATTGCTATTAGCAACGAGATTTGTTTTTAAACATTTGGCCTGTATCTTCACTGAGAAAAAAAGATGTGTTTTACTGGTGTTATGCTAACCCATGTTAAAATCCTAGTTATGGATAAAGTAGTTGTAATTTTAATCTGTGTTAGCTGCTCAAGGTAAACCCTAGAGCGTTCATCTCAAACAACTAACTCAGGTTAAAACTGCAACTGCCTTGTCAACCTTAAGATTTTAATATTGGTTAGCTTAATACAGATTAAAAAATACACCTTTTTCCCTAGAGAGAAGTCAAGGCTCTGTAATATATACAAGGCAACAAAATTAAAAGTCATCCCTCCTAAGGTCTTAATGTATTTACTCACTACTTCCAACTGAAAACCCAGCCCAAGCCTTCTCTTCAAGCTTAACTACCACTATGCTTACCTCACCAGAGCATAAGGCTAGGCTTAGGTTTCGTTTTTTGCTCCAAACCCTACAGTGCAGTGTGTGCTCTCTCAATCCTTGAGGGCTATATCCACTTTCCTTATATCCTGGTGGGCATAACAAGCTAATTGTACCATTGAATCAGCAAAACAAATATCATTTTCCAGCAAGGTCCCCACTGTTAACATGATGCAGTGTTCAGGCAAAGACCATCAGCTGTTACAGGCTTCTTTTCCCTTATACTTTCATAGCCATATTGTTACCACTTGTAGAACCATTAGAAAACCAAGACCTGACATAATATTTAACACAATTCAAAGCATAGACCTGAACTGCCGATCAGTAGCCAGGTCTACCTAGGAAGTTTTAATACACAGTGTCACCATATCCGACCTACATAATGCCTTTACGCAAACAGTTTATAGGATTTTTCCCAAAAAAACTCAAAGTACTACATATGTGCCAAAAATACTGCTTCTGCAATGAACATTAGCCTGTCTTATCCCATTGCAAGATGATTGCTTTTTTAGCACAGTTCATAATTACCCAATTAGTAATTAAATGAAACTAAGACTATGTCTACACTGCAGACCTTACAGCAGCACAGCTGTACTGCTGCAGCTGCATCACTGTAAGGTCTCCGGTGTAGCCACTCTATGCTGGCAGGAGAGAGCTCTCCCGTCAGCATAATTAAACCATCCCCAATGAGCGGGGGTAGCTATGTCAGCAGGAGACCGTCTCCTGCCGACATAGCGCTGTCCAGACCAGCACTTTTGTCAGTGAAACTTATGTCAGTCAGAGGTGTGTTTTTTTCACACCCACAAATGACAAAATTGTAGACATAGCCTAGTATAGACATAGCCTAACATTCTTCCCAAAGCCTTAAAAAACAGCAGCTCTATTTTGTACCCCAACAAATTCTCTTCCCGAAAGACTGAGTTGAAGGTAACAGTGACTAATCCAAAGAGCCACACAGTTAGTCAATTTCCTATATTGTCAGTCTTTCACACAGCACCAGGGAAGACAAATTTATTAAAAACTAAACAAAACAAAAATAAAACCACAGAAATTAGGATGGGGACTCAAAGGCAGCAATAAGTGTCTTAAACTAAATTTCTTATATCTCTTTTAAATAGACTAGATTTCAAGCTGACTCTGTGCCTTTTAGTCAATATTTACAGAAAAAGGTTTAATTAAATATCTTGAGGGACATTTTTAAAGTATTTCAGTATCTCTAGCAAATAATTCCATATTCCACAATGAAAAAGTAAAATATTTAAAAGTATAACATATAATATTGTATTCTGAGTCTTATTAATCTTAGTTTTTCTGCTCAAATTATGAAAAAAACATTTTCTGCCAGTGTACAAATTTAAATAGATAAAAATATTAAATACACAGAGATCTAATGAAACTCAATTTTAAAAATCTGACAAAAAAAAAGAAAAAACCCGCAGTATTCACCCTATCATGCATGTCTTATTATTTAAATATGAGGAACCATCCCCTATTAGTATAATGGATGTATAGGATTTTGTATTAATTTAAATGTTAATTCCATTAATCTACACACTTTTCATCCTGTACAAAAATGTAGTGCATTTTGCCACCTTTGGGATATTGTATATGATTATGATTTTATTTGATTTTTGACAGAATACACAATGTTACGTTTAGTAGTACACTATGAAACATCCTAAGTAGTGCACTAAACCAGTGATTGTCAACCTGTGGTTTGCAGACTTCCGGGGTCCAGAGACCAGGTCTAAGATTTCCAAAGGGGTCCGCACCATCATGTAAAATTTGTTAGGGGGTCCACAAATGAAAAAAGGTTGAAAACCACTGCAGTAAACTATAGCTGTCAAAATGAAGGACATTTTGTGATGCAGCATCTTTGTTTTATTGTTTATTCACTTAAAAGGCTAGTCAGTTTTATTTAAAAAAAAATCCTTTTCCTTTCATTATTAACATCATAAAGTGTAGGTAAATAGATTTTGTGCCTGGGCTGGTACACTTTCATGACAATTTTGCAAGGCTGGGGGGGAGGGAAATTGATTCACAATATAGTTTGACATTTTGTTTATGTTTTTTTCTTATCTATTTAGGCCCTGATCTTCCAAAGACTTAAATTTTTGCATTATGAGTAGTCACACTGAAGGGCTACTGAGGCACAATCAATGGGAATATTCACTATGTGTAAACAGGTAAATCAAGTTAAATTAAGCAAGCAGGTAAATCTCTGTACTTTAGACTGAGAACTCTCTAAGAAGACTCCATCTCCTTTATGTTTGTACAGCACTGAGCACAATGCTCAATCCTGACTGTGGTCTTGAATAGCTACTGCAATATAAATAAATAACAATAATAATTAGAGACACAAAGTGGATGTGGTAATATCTTTTATTGGACCCACTTCTGTTGGTGAGTGAGATAAGCTTTTAAGCTTACACAGAGATCTTCTTCGGATCTGAGAAAGGTACTCAAACACACGGAGTACCTTTCCCAGACCTGACGAAGAGCTCTGTACAAGCTCAAAAGTTTGTCTCCCTCACCAACAGAAGTTGGTCCAATAAAATATATTACCCCACCCACCTTGTCTCTCTAATGTCCTAGGACCAGCGAAAACCACACTGCAAACAGCAATAATAATTCTCACTCTACCCCAACTAAACATTTAAGCAGGTTAGTGTAGTGCTACTCCTATGATATCCAGAGTTCACTATAATAATCCTGCATCCAAGATGAGACACACAGCATGAGATCTGACCATTTTCAGAAGCAAAGAGAGTAAACAGGAGGCTCCATCACGTATCAGTGTCACTGTCATTCACTTCTCCTGCCATGGCCAGAACTGGCACAAAACTCTAGTGAAACCCCAGGGCAGCCACGTACTGGGAAGGGGTCCAAACAATTTCAGACACGCTGCATTGAGGCACCCACCGACGGCCGCAGTATCCAGGCTCCACAGTGACTTCGGGTGTAGGGGGAATCTCAGCAGAGGCGAGTCGAATGGGAGGCAAGGCCTCAGCACCGCTAAGACGGAGATACTCAGAGCTGAGCCGAAGAGGGGGGTGCTCGCTGTCCAGCGCCACGGGCAGGCCCCCAGCCAGACGCTGCTCGCAGAGGAGCTGGTCTGGGGAGAAGCCGGTGCCTGGAGCCCCCAGGGGAAGCGGTGACTCACCGAGTGGCTCCAGGCGGCTCGAAAGTGTCTCTTCTTGACACGAGACGAGAAACGTGCAAATGACGTCAGAGGTTAAAAGTCAGCGCAGAGGTGATACGAAAAACGGGACCGTGCTTTCCTTGTCTGCCTCCAGGAAAACACGCCGGGTACGCACGCGCTACGCAATGACGTTTCTATCCTCCCTCAGTCCTAGCGCCTGCCAGACTCTCCGCGCTGATTGGCCAGAGCATTGCCACGTGCAGTTACAGCGGCCGCGGGTTGGTTGGTAGCTGCGCCGCGAGCGAGGGGCCGCTGCTGTATGTTGGCGAGTGAGCGGCACGGTGCTGCGGACAGGACGCGGCGCCGGGACATGTGAGGGTCTCTCGTCCAAGGGCCCCGTTAGGGTCGGGTCCCAGGGGACGCGGGGGCTGCGACCGAGAGACGGGTCAGGCCACCCCCTCGTCCCGGCGGGCTGTTCAGGGACCCGCAGGGCCCTGCCCGCCCACCCGCGGTTCGGGCGGCCCTAGGCTGGATGTGCCCGCCGGGCAGGGCGGGCTTGTCCCCACCTGCGCCTGGAGCCGGCTCCTGAGGCACCACTGCTGTGAGAGAAACAGCCCGAGGGCTCCCGTAGAGCCTGCAGCAACCATCTGCCCGGGAGGAAAGTGCCCCCGGGCCGTGCTCGGGGTCTGGGCTGCCGCCTGGGGGCCCGCTCTGAGGTGGCTGGAGCTGAGAGTGCTGTTTGCAGTGGGAGCTCCCGTTCTCGAAGGGGCTGTGAACATGAAGCATGTGCTGTGAATAACAGCTAGATGGGGAGCTCACGGGCTCTTCTGTAACTCAGTGGAGCGTAGGTCAGAGTCCTACCTAAACTGCCATGCGAAGAACAATTGTTTATACTCTTTTCTTACGTGACTTTTTTTTTCCCCTCTTGCAGATATTCAGCATGGGATTGCTTACCAACCTCGCTCGAGGCCTGGTCCGAGGTGCAGACAGAATGGCTGAATTTACCAGCAAACGTGGACCCAGAAGCCATAACAAAGGCAGAGGAGCCAGGAAAGTGGGTTATGTCACCTTAGGTGGGAAATTTATCAAAATTAAGGAAATGGTCCCTGAATTTGTGGTTCCAGATTTGACAGGGTTTAAGCTCAAGCCCTACGTTTCCTATAAGACTCCTAAAGGGACAGAACCACCACTGACGGCCAAACAGCTTTTCATGGATGTTGTTGCCCCACAGATTGAGAAGGATATTAAAGATGGGACTTTTGACCCCCATAACCTTGAGAAATATGGATATGAACCTACTCAAGAAGGCAAGCTCTTCCAGTTGTTTCCCAAGAACTATGTACGTTAAGAAGTAAAGATTATAGCCTTCCCTGGAAAGTTTCTGCAGCAACACAGTAAACTTACAAAAATATTGTTTTTAAATCTGATAAAATGTTGAATATTAAGATTTCAGCTATAGAGGGGAAAACATCCTGCCCTTTTTCAGTACCTATTAAAGGAAAATCCTACTGACTTGACTTGTGTAACTTTTAGATATCTCAAACTTTTTAAAAAGGTAACCAGATTTGTAACTTACAAATGGGTGAGAACAGAGCATTGAATATAACCAGCTATTGCCTGGGCCTCACCTGTGGCTTTTCATGTTGTGGCCTGTGGTCAAAAGCAGTCAGCCATCTGCTTCCATTGTTAGATGAGATAGGGATACAAGCACTCATCCTTCAGGGTATTAAGCCAACCACTAAGTACCTGGGGCAATTCCCATCTTCCTGCTCTTAGGTCACCAAAGATCAATCCTATATAAAATGGAGTATTGCACAAGAGCAAGGGGAAACTTCAAAAAAGAACGCTAGGAATCCTTGGCCTAAGCTATAAGCGGTCTCAAAGGTTGGGACTGTCCTGTTAAACCTAAACTTGTAACCAGTCTGAGGCTATTCCCAGTTTTAAGGCAACTTTCTTTTGGATGCAAGCAGTATCCCTAGTATTTATGTACAACTGAGGCCTGCTCCTGAGTCAGGCAATTGAATGTCAGACATTGCACTTTTTAAAGCCTCTTGTAGAAGGAATCAAATTAACTTTGTTATTATCTCTCTCAACCACAACAGGCACTACTAGCAGCTATGCATCTTCCCAACTTATCTGAGCTAGCAGTACTTCTATCCTAAGAATTTTAAAAATTGATTTAATATTAAAGTACCTTTGTTTTTCTCATTTTATTGGCGATGCAAAAGGCATCTCCATGTGTAAATAGGGTATATACAATGACATGAGCAGGAGTAATAAATCAAGATGTTTCATTGTTTAATGGACAAAGTGTTAGAAAGCAGGAATTCCTAGCTCTGCTCAAGGTCCCACAGCAAGTTTGCTATAAAAAATTAATCCTTTGTCCAGTTTTATGGTTGGGGAACCTTTCACTCCCAACGTCTAGGTGTGGTTTGTTTGTACAAGCAAATGTAAAATATCGATTAAGCACAAGGATGTAGTTCCTATGTCCTCTTGTATGGAGAAGAAGGCAACTTTAATGTACTCTTTGCCAGCATTTCACTTATGATGAAAACTGGGTGCCTAAGCTTTTATGTTTCTATTTTTTTAAAAAGCAAAGGAGCTTGAGGAAGGTGGGGGAGTAGGCAGGAGCAGTTAACTAGTGCCCACTGCAGCAAGTTCTAGTCCAGTCTTTTTCAGAGGGCATCTGTTTTTTCTAGATCTGAGATGTTTTTTCCATCAACTACCTATTTTAATGTCATGAAAATAGTGGGATCTTACTCTGCTGAAATTAGTTGTTTGTTGTTGCATGAGAATGAATAGTCACTGAGCCAGGGAAAGACAGAATGACTATAGCCTGATGGGTTAGATGCTCACCTAGGTTTTGGGAGATCAAACTTTAAGTCCCTGCACCAGTGACTTTTTATTTATAAAAAGCAGAACAGTTTCAAGAGGAGACACTGAGAAAGCCCAATACCAGAATATCCCATAGTCATAGAATCATAGAATATCAGGGTTGGAAGGGACCTCAGGAGGTCATCTAGCCCAATCCCCTGCTCAAAGCAGGACCAATTCCCAACTAAATCATCCCAACCAGGGCTTTGTCAAGCCGGGCCTTAAAAACCTCCAAGGAAGGAGATTCCACCACCTCCCTAGGTAACGCATTCCAGTGCTTCACTACCCACCTAGTGAAATAGTGTTTCCTAATATGCAACCTAGACCTCCCCCACTGCAACTTGAGACCATTACTCCTTGTTCTGTCATCTGCCACCACTGAGAACAGACGAGTTCCATCCCCTTCGGAACCCACCTTCAGGTAGTTGAAAGCAGCTATCAAATCCCCCCTCATTCTTCTCTTCTGGAGACTAAACAATCCCAGTTCCCTCAGCCTCTCCTCATAAGTCATGTGCTCCAGCCCCCTAATCATTTTTGTTGCCCTCCGCTGGATTCTTTTTCCACATCCTTCTTGCAGCATGGGGCCCAAAACTGGACACAAGTATTCCAG